AAGGCGGGTGAGGTAAAGAAGAAGATTCTGCAAGAGGCACACAAATCGACGTATGCTATTCATCCAGGGAGTACAAAGATGTACCAGGACCTGAAAAGACAGAACTGGTGGAGAGGCATGAAAAGAGACGTTCGTGAGTGTGTCTCGGAGTGTATGACTTGCCTCTAGGTTAAAGCTGAGCACCAGAAGCCAGCGGGGGAGTTGCAATCTCTTCCTGTCCCTGGATGGAAATGGGAGCACATCACCATGGATTTTCTGATGGGGCTACCGAGAACCGAGCTGAAGCACGATGCCATCTGGGTGGTGGTTGACAGGTTGACGAAGTCCGCGCACTTCATACCGTTTCGTGCAACGTATTCTCGGAAGATTCTGTCAGAATTGTACCTAGAGCACATCGTGAGGTTACACGGGGTGCCACTGTCTATCACGTCTGATCGTGATACCCGCTTCAATGCACGGTATTGGAGGAGTTTCCAGGAAGCCATGGGAACAGATCTAAATTTTAGCACTGCATTTCATCCCCAGACGGATGGACAATCTGAAAGAGTTATTCAGATTCTGGAGGATATGCTTCGTGCTTGTATTCTGGAATTTGGTGGAAACTGGAAGAAATACCTGCATCTAGCTGAGTTCGCTTACAATAACAGCTATCAGGCCAGTATCGGTATGGCACCGTTCGAGGCGTTGTATGGTCGTCCTTGTAGGTCACCTGTTTGTTGGTTGGAACCGGAGGATAGACTTACAACTGGACCGGATGTCATTCAAGAGAATGACGAGAAGATAGCTGTGATTCGAGAACGCCTGTTGACAGCTCAAAGTCGACAGAAGAGCTATGCTGATAGAAGGTGTAGGCATTTGGAATTCCAAGAAGGCGACTTTGTCTTGTTGAAGGTTTCCCCACGTAAGGGAGTTGTTCGGTTCGGTATGAAAGGAAAACTCGCACCAAGGTATGTGGGACCATTTCCGATCGTGCAACGAGTCGGAGTGGTGGCGTACCGGTTGGCCTTACCGCTTGAGTTATCTCACGTGCATGATGTGTTTCATGTCTCCATGCTTCGGAAATGTCAACCTGAGCCGGAAGCAGTAGTGCAGTGGTTTGACGTTCCGATACAGTATGACGCGTCATACGAGGAGGCACCAGTTCAGATTCTTGACCGAAAAATAAAGAATCTGCGTCATCGTGAGATCCCATTAGTGAAAGTGCTGTGGCAGCACCATGGTGTTTTGAAACGACGATGCAGGAACGTTATCCGCATCTGTTTGCACTTTGAGGTGAGCTTTAATTTCAGGGACGAAATTGCCTAAGGGGGGTGGAGCTGTAACACCCTGAAGAATTAATTGAGATTAATTAGTTAGAACTCTGACATGTTTCCATTGATACAGCCTTTAGATCTCCGGTAGAATTCTCTAAGACAACGAGCACGATGGTTATTGTCTTCCTCAGTCAAATCTCCTTAGTTCCTTAATGGGGTGTTTTCTCTCTAGAAGGGGAATAATGAAAACTGCCGTATGATTTGACGTATTGGGGACCATAACCTAAGTTTCTTTATATACTGCCCCATTAGGCTCCCATTAAACCTAATTGGGTCAATATAGGTATCCACCCATTTAGCCCATACCCTGTTAGGAGACTAGTTGAGCTTTTCATAATTAGATCACTTAAATTAGTCCAAATAATTAAATAGCTTAATATAATTATTGAATAAATATATGGCCCACAATATAGGAAACTCACGTTTCCTAACATGACAAACTATAGGTGAGATAATATTAAATAAGTATGGCGAACATTTTTAGCCATACCAATTAGTATTATATTATATTAAAAAAAGTATCATAATAAATCAACATGTTTATATATATATATATTAGTTTCAAAATCATGCCTTACTGAAAATTATTTCTGGCTTCGCCATTGTATGTTTGAAGCTATATATAACTAGAAATTTGCATATACCATGTACATAAATTTCTCATTACCCAACCTATAAAAAGAGTTATTGAATTAAATTCCTGTTAGTTCTGCTGATTCTAACAAAAAATCTCATTATCCAGCCTACTATATATATATTTTTTTTTTTTCAAAAGAAAAAGCTAAGAGAAAGAAGGACCTGAATTTTGTGATTTCTGAGCAATGGAAGGGCAAATGCTGGTTGCTTGTTGATGTCAACGCAATCAAATATGCCGGCCTTAGTCTTAATAAAAACAATAGTCAGTATATAAGAAATTTATTATTAATGTTTGATCAGTTAAATACGAATTTGAAGAGTATATTCAAAATTCCGCGATTAAAAAATTACCATATATATGAAGTACCTCAATTGTCTTGACTGATGGCTTATTAAGAAGCTTCAACCGATTTTCAAACTTTCTACCTTCATCTTCCAAAATCTTTATCTTACTGTCGACATATATATGTTTTTCTTACGCAAAATATTTGTTATATGAAAAATCGACCAATATGTTTCGGTAAGAGCGTATTCCTTTGTTACATATATAGATATATAGATATATATATATATATATAGATATATATATTAACATTAAATTTGCTGATTCATATTTTTTTAACACCAAGATTTAACTAAAATGTTGTAGTTTTCATTCTATTATCTCAAATACTCTGTTTACGTAGTCCTAGTGAATTCAACAAAATGGAAGAGAGGTTAAGCCTATGTAAAATAAAAATAAAAATTAAGGTCCATAAATTCTTATTTCCTTGCAGATAGAATACTTCTATTTTTTTTTTTCTCCATCTTGTTTAATTGAAGACTCATAGCAAGAATCTCCACATATAAATCAAGGGAAAGGTATTGGTACAAGATGAAGAGGAAGTTTCTTATGAACTACAATACCATAAACTTCACTCATGTCCAAGTCTTCTTCCTTCTCACCTGCAGGCAATTTCCAATCAAACCAATACAAAAGATTGGCAATCAAATATTCAACGCCTACAACCCCAAATTTGATCCCGGGGCATCTCCTTCTCCCAAAGCCGAACGGAATAAATTGGAAGTAGTCTTGGCCTCTAAAATCAACAGGGTTGTTCTCAAACCTCTTTGGGATGTACTCCTCTGGCTTGTCCCATGAACCTGGATGCCTTTGGATCGCCCATCCATTGATAAGGCCTCTAGTTCCCGCCGGAATATGGTAGCCACCGATGTCGACATCTTCGGTTGTTTTCCGAGGGACTAAAAGAGGTGCTGGTGGGTGTAGCCTGAGAGTTTCTTTGACAACACATTTGAAGTAATCCATTTTCTCAATATCATTCATTTCAACCTTTGCCTTTTCTCCCACTACTCTTCTTACCTCTTCTTGGACTTTTTTCAGTACACTTGGCCTTCTCATTATTTCTGCCATGAACCACTCAGATATGTTGGAAGTGGTTTCAATTCCTCCAAAAAACATGTCCTGCAGTTTTGTACGACATCAAATTTATATTAGCGCATAGTTTGAATAATCTTATTAGTACTAGCCAATAATTAAAGTGTCCGGAGAAGTGATTGTTATAATCTTAATGTGATTTTCAAATTTTCATAGATATTGTGTTACATTTTGCGGTCCTTCTACTTGTAGGACCTCCCACTGATAGTACATATATTTAATCATTGAATTTAGTTAAAATTATATTAAAATAAAAAATATATATAATAGTTAATTTTTAATACAAATCTGACGGTTTATTTTTCTAAATCATACGGTAAAAATGTCCTACATTTTTGTTTTATCTTTTGCGTAAGGTTTATCCTACGTTGGAATTTTGAGTGGACCTGTTTGATGCCTAGGAAATTGAGTTCCCAACATATACATGAGCGGAAAAGTTCAAACGTCTCAATCAGTGTGAAGAGAACACGTGAAAAGATAAGGTCTCATATGTGCTTGATCAAAAACTAATTGTAGCCATGTAATATATATGGTGATATGTATACCAAACAAGATATTACTAAATATCTTGACAAATTATTTACAGTTTGAAACCTTGAGGCTTCTATGATAGCTGATAAATGGAGAAGAAAAACCTATATTAGTACTAATTTTAGCTTTCTTTCTATTATAAAAGCTAAGCATGCAAGATACTCATATATATTACAAATAAGTGCCGAATATGATTAATCTAGCTTGATAGTGACCAATTCCTAGATAACATGATCTATAATTAATGGATGATATATATATATATATATATAATACAAAATTGAGCAGCTCACTTGAACATAATCTTTTTTAGCGTGTGTTAAATTAATTAGGATGTATAACATGGCATTCTCGACACTCATTTTTTAAGTAAATGGAGAGAGAAAAAACTTCATATATTCCAATTAGATTGACACCCACTAAACACCTTGAACAACTCTACAACTAATTTACTAAAAAGATAAAATAAAAACAAAAAGAATTATGTTAAGAATTTTTGAAAAAGTCATATAATATAAAATATATTGATCCCTTGTGTTTCTCCATATATATACATAGTTGTATATTTTGACATAAGAGCAGACCTGAACGATAGCTTTGAGGTGATCATGAGTGAGCTCCATATCAAACACGTTACCTTTCTGAAGTTGGAGCAGAATTTCCACAAAGTCCTTCACGCCGGACGACTCAGTACTATTCATTGCCTTATTACGTTCTTCAAGCAAAAGATTATAAAAAGCATCCAAATCTCCAACACTTGATTTCAATCCTCCCACAAACCCTCTAAGAACGTCAATCCATCCAAAAGATGGGAAGAAATCTCCCACGCTGAACGCCATCAGCTGCACCATAGCCCTCCTCACCACCTCCCCAACTCTCCTCCCTTCTTCCTCTTCGCCGCCAAGGCTCCTCCCGAAAATACACCTCGAGATCACGTTATTCGACGTCGAAATCAACATCTCCGTGAGATTTACCGACACCCCGTCGACGGAAGCTTTTCGGAGCCTTTCAACCAACGACGACACTTCTTCTTCCCTAACCGACTGGAACGACTGAACCCTTTTGGGGCTCAGGAGCTCCAGGACGCAGAGCTTGCGCGCTCGCTTCCAGTACTCCCCTTGGGGAGCAAAGACGATGTTGTTCCCGCCGTAGTAGAGGACGTCGGAGGCCGTGGACGTGAACCTGTCGGAGAAAACAACGTCGTAGTTTTTGGCGATTTCCTTGACGATATCTGGAGAGGAAACGATGACGGTGGGGACACGGCCGAAGTGTAAGAGCATGAGAGGGCCGTACTTTTCGGACAGGGATCGGAGGGATCGGTGAGGGTGGTTCCCAATCTGGTGGAGGTTTCCGATTATTGGTAAGCCTGGGGGACATGGTGGTAAGTTAAGGAGTTTTTGTGATCTTTTGCGTATGAACAAAAAGAGAAGCGAGACAAAGAAAAGGGAAACGGAGAAGAAAGTGAAGTGTAGGTGTTGCCACAAATAATGCTCCAAGAATTGTGAGGCATCAAATTCCATTTTGGTGTAAAACGAGAGAAATTGAAGTTACATATCTCAATATTCTTATAGGAGCTCAGATATTTTGGGTTACACTTAAACGACTTAGATAAGAGAAATGATATTCGGAAACGTAAAATAAGGGCTGTGTTTGGAATTGATCCTGTTTTTATTTTTCATATTTTTTTATAAAGAAAAAATAAAAACGTTTCTCAAATGATGGTTGGCACAATAAAAACAAAAAACGGAAATGAAAATGATTTTTTGGTTTAGTGTAAAATTAGAGAGAAATGAAAAATAACTTTTAGTCATTTTTCATTTTTTATTTTTGTTTTCTTCTCTCTCGAGCATAGATAGAAAGAGACATTAATGGATTTTTTTATACCGAAAATAATCTCTTTAAAAACTACTAAATGCATTTTCAAAAATGATTTCTGTCTGAAATTAAAAATGTTTTCATTTTTATTTTCATACAAAAATAAAATCATTTTATAACGAGTTTTAAACGCACCTAAAAACTCGACAAAGTCGTATGAGGGTAGCAAACCTCCACGTCTACCATTTTTAAGGTGGAGTAATTTCATTATTGTTCTTGAATGTTAGTCATCCATATTTTACTTTTTAAATTTTAAAAATTTTTATTTTATTTTTTAAATTTTAAATTTATCATATTTAAATATTTTTAAATTTATTACGTCTCAGTTCGAATTAAAATTTTAATTCCGCGAATTGAACATGCCGATCCCAAAGACAACGTCTTGTACTGCGCTGGCAAGAGTGCAATTCATTTGGTGAAAAATCCGTCTTTTCTTTCTGAAACAAAGCACATATACATAGTGCGGTATCATTCCATCCGGTCACTTGAGGAAGATAGGATTTTGAATCTTGAATTCATTTGGTGAAAAATCCGTCTTTCCATTCTAAAACAAAGCACATATACATAGTGCGGTATCATTTCATCCGGTCACTTTAGGAATATAGGATTTTGAATCTTGAAAAGATTCATGGGAGTAAGAACTCTGCTGATATGCTGACGAAGACGGTAAGCGCTATGTTCAGCTTTAGTTGGTCTGCTAGCATGAGAAGACTAGAAAGAGCTGTTGCCTTGATCTGAGTGTGAAGACAGATTGAAATTAGTCTTCAAGTGGAGATTGTTGAAGCCCACGTTTGTTGATGTCAACAATAAGATTTGGTTGTGGAAGAAGAAAAAGAAAGTTGAGCAATCCAACCTTCATCATAAGAAAGTTGCTCAGCAAAAGAAGAAGAAAGAAAGAGAAAGAAAATAAAAGATAAGAAGAAATGAGAAGAATGGAGACGGTGCCTCAATGAGTAATTAACACGTTTGGAAGCTCTGCAAATTTAGCTCCCCTCTTTAGTTCAAAATCACGTTTGGAAGCTCTGTAAATTTAGCTCCCCTCTTTAGTTCAAAATCTATCCTGAGATTCGAGATCTGACATAGAGTTGGTATTATGGGTCACGACACAACAATATAATTTGAAAATGACATGAATTTTATAGGTTACGGTTGAAAAAAAAAAAGATGTTCGAATCAAAATTGAATCGACATAAAATTGACACAAAAAACACGGGTCAATTTCGGATTAGACCCGCCTAACCCGAACTCGTAAAAAACTAATATATATATATATTTCATTACATATTTTAGATTTTATTATGAACTTGTGATATCATGATAGTTATATTCAAAATTTTATATTATTATTTGTTTAATTTTGATAGATGTTATTATATTTTAGTATATTATGAATTTTAAATTATTTCTAATATGTAAAAAATTAAATAAAAATATATAATTTTTGTGTCTATTTCAGGTTCACGGGTCATTTTCGTGTCGTGTCAACCCGTAAAGTGGTCATGTCGTGTTTGTGTTGTGGTTTTTAAAAAATTTCGTGTCATGCGTCGTGTTCGGATTAATTGAAAATTTAAGAAGAAACTATTAAAATACTACACGTATACAACATGTGACACAAATTGTTACCCTTAATCTCAAGTTCAAACAGCCATCCTAGATCATAAGAAAAAAAATAGAGAAAGAGAGAGAAAAGTTATGAGAAGCTTTTGTGAGAGAATTGTTTTCACTTTCAAACCATAACTCAAATGTATACAACTAAACATAAACTTAAATTATAATTTCAACTCAAGTTATAACTCAAACTCAATTTAAAATTTACACTCAAATCATCTAACTCAAAAACGACAAAATAACAGCCCCGTAATTAGCAGAGTTTATAGAGGCCAAATATCAAATTATTTGACAAGTAGCTAGTCTGCCGATGTATCCAATCAATTGAATAATTTATTCTAACCAATTATGGTATGGGAAATGTGTGGAAATAGAAAGCGTGCCAATCCCCAGATAATTATTGCCATTTTTGTATCCTTACGTCTTATCTGCTTAAAAAAAGGTGTGAAATAATTCACAATCTAGTGAGCCACGCCAAAATATAGTGTCAATTATATGGATTAATATTTATGGACTACAAGTTGAACAGCTGGCCCATACCCACTAACAACAATGGGCATAATTGACAAGACAACCGAGTCAATATTGCATTTCTTTTGTCCGACTAAAGCTTGTTTTCTATCTCAGCCAGCAAGATGATGAAAAAAGGATTATAAGGGCTTGTTTGTGAGAGTTTTTAATTTTATTTTCAATTAGTAGAAGAAAAAAATAAAAATTAGTGTTTGGAATAAAGAGTTTAATGGATTAAAATAATTTTTTAGTTTTTTAATAAATAATAAAAGTGTTGGAATTAAATTTATAATACTTTAATTAAATTCTAATACAAATTTTAAAATCTATTCAGATGTGTTTTTTATAGAAGTTATAATTCTGATTTTGACTGAAAACTTTTTTAAAAAATTAAAGTACTTCTAACAGATCATTTAAATACTTTCAGAAGAAGTAGTTTTTAAATTTAAAAAACCAAAAACAACTTTTAAAAATATCTCCTAAACAGAGTCTAAGGATAAGATTACTAGTAAAAAAAAGTCTAAAGGATAAGATTGATAGAATCATTATTTTTGAAGGGTTTTTTTTTTTTTTAGCTGAGAGAGATGTGTTTTGGACATTTTGGCAAAGACCTCTGTGGAGCAAGTAAACAAGATGTCAAATGGTAATTGCTAAGGAATTTAAAGTCGGCACTATGATTCAATTGATGAGTTCGGTCAGGAGAGGAACCCAAATTGCCATGCAAGTTGGTCTGGAATTTAATTCACGCCCTTCAAAACGTTCTTGACTCCACCAATGTGTACAGACATCATTCGTATCAAATTTCTATTCCTTTGATTTAATTATTCTATATATTGACGGGAAAGTAAAATTTGCCAGGGATGCGTTTGGTTACAGTGGGGGAATAGTAATGAGAATAAGAATGAAAATGGTAATGGGACGGGAATGGAAAAGAAAGTTGATTCATTTATTTAGTTGTAATTTTAAAAATTCTCTAGAATGGAACATGAATATTTTCATGTTGACAAACTTACCCTTATGCTATATATAACATTAATATTTTATCTATCAATATAATATATAAAATGTAATATAATATAATATAATTATTATTATATAATATACCTGGTTTAGATAATTATATCTGGATATAGCTCTTTTTGGTTGAACCCCAAAGTTCCAAAAACTGACTGTTTGGTGATTAATGTGGTGGTTGCACTGTGTGCGTTAGTAGATTCAAGGACTTCGTAACCTGTATGTAAATACATGTAAGATTAGTTTCTTGATGATGAATTGACCTTTTTTGTTTAATGTGAACTTTTTTTCTCTTCTATTTTGGGGGAAAGATTGAAACAGGAGATGATGAGGATGAGTCTGGGGACTCAGATTCTGAGTGCAATGGAGCCGCCCAAGATTTATCCAAGATAACGGAGATGAGGCTTATTCCTTCAGACGCCGGCCAATGTCTCTCTCTCTCTCTCTCTCACAAACACACACACACACACATGCAGCACACACAAACGTAGATACAGTTTAAAGATTGTCACCATGCTATTTATTATAAAATTTGGTTGCTGTCTTGATGGTATATTGGTTTCTTATCCGTTTATCTGATCTTATGCTTCAAAGGTTGTGATATTACCATTCTATCATTTCTGGTTTTCTAGTACCTTCTCTTCTTAATGGGGATGCATAAAATGTATTATCCTTTTCTCTTCTACAGTGGACCGCTTGTTTGAGATATTCTGCGAGTGTGCAGAGCTTAATCCAGAACCCATTGAAGGTTAGAACAATTTTTTTTTTTTTTAAAGGAAAGTTTTGTAGAATATTTTTCTTTGAAGTTGAATTTAGTAGCTTTTGCTTCTAATTCTTTCACTAATATGCTACTCGTTTATGCCTTCTTTAGGAGAAGAAGAAGCGCATAATTGGATTTTTAGTGCTGATCGGATTGGAGATGAAGTTGCAGGTATGATTAAAGCAGCTAACACTTATGGCTTCTGGCATGTACTTATGGTGAATGATAATTTTGTTTGAATTTGGTATTTCTAGAAGGGGAAGATCCTGATTGGATTATGTCTCAAAATCCAACAAGCACAATTGGTCAATCTAATGGGGATCATGACTTAGCACGTACAGTGCTAGAGGTACGCCCGTGAAATTGCATTTTAAGCTGCTGCTTAATTTTCTTTTGGATGTGTTCTATACTAATGGAAAATGCGTCACATTGGTATCTTAGGTCTTCTGTAACTTATGCTGTAGTTACTACGAATTTAGACGTGAGATGCACTAATCTTACAGGACTTAAATGGTAGTGATAATCTAACGAATGTATATGGCTTAGAATTGCAATCGAAAGTTTTATTTTTAAGCTGTAAACTACGAGCCGGTTACTTTTCAAGGAGAGCCAGGCGATTTAATCTGAAAATGGTGGAAGACTGAAGTAATCATTGATCACCTTTTTGTAAATATTGCAGCTTCAGATCAACGATCAGCGATTTGAGGATGCAGAAGAAATGGGGCATGATGTCAACAGTGGCCACCGTTGAGCTTGTTCTCCCTTTTCTTTCTTCACATCTTCGGGTGTTGCCATTAACCAGTGTCCATCTTGTTTCTTTTGTGGTTCCGAGTCTTTTTG